AAAGGCAGGCCAGGCATGTCTTCTCTGGTGCCAGTTACTGGAAGCAGATGATTGCCATGTTTTCTGCTGTCACTTCTCCAGCCCCACACACTGATCATTCAGGCATGCACAAGAGAACTGGCAGCCAGAGTGGTTCTCTGGCAGCTTTATCCTCCACTCCACGCACTCCAATTTCTCCTGCCACCAAGATCAAGAGAAGCAGTGGTGAACAAAAGAAATTTTGTTTCTTAAATCTTTCTGCCACCCATGGCAAGAAAAGTCAGGGAAGAGTAAAAAGGGAAGCAAGTGTGTTTGGTGCTAGCTCAGTGGTGGCGAACCTATGGCACGGGTGCCAGAGGCGGCACTCAGAGCCCTCTCTGTGGGCACGCGCGCCATCGCCCCAGTTCTAGGCCTTCAGCTGGGTTTTATAAAACCTTTTCACTTTAGGCTCCGCCGCCGTGTGCAAAAAAAAAAAAAAAAGGTTCCATCAGTCAATTTCAACTTCTCATGGGAAAAAAAAAGATCTTGCAAAGTTGGAATTGATTGATTGAACTTTTTAGTCCCACCCAGTCTGCCGTTACCACCGCAGCCACGCTCACCCAATGGGCCACGCCCACCCAATGGGCCACACCCACCCGGCACTCGACGATGCATAAGTGGGTTTTAGGTTGCAGTTTGGGCACTCAGTCTCTAAAAGGTTCGCCATCACTGTGCTAGCTCTTCCAGTGCCTGAAGGATGGGGGGGAAGTTTTATTATGTGAAGTAAAGAGCCGGTTCCCCCTTCCCTCAATAGTCCTCTGATCTCACAGAGCATATCAATCAGATTGGAGAACTGGGGTACAGCGATGCCTTCCACCCTACAAATACATATATATTTTTGTCAACCCTCCAAGCCTCGGCAGTTTAGGGATTTGCTCGTAGCAAATGAAATGGGAGAGAGAGCTCTTTGACAGTGGGAGAACCCTGGTGCCAAAAGATGAATACTTGAAAAAAACCAAGTGGCCAGGCACTAAAGGTAAAGTTTACTGAAGTATACTGATCCACGTGTCAGAAAGAAAAAACAGGTCCTGTTCCAAGCCGGGAGGACGCTGTAGAAATTAGTTGAAGGCAGGCATTTTGGAAAGGAGGTCTCTTTTATTTAGTTGCCAGCAACTTCAGTGACAGCAGCATGTTTCTGGGGTGGCTGACCAAATGGAGTTGAGAGTGGGTGGGCTTTTATACATTCTTTGGCCTTTGTATTTGAGGTGCCTGTTCCTGTGCAATGTACTTTGACCTGAGCTTGAGCTTTTGGCATTCTAATGGCGGTGGGTTAATCCTATTATGTCCTAAAGGTCATGTCCTGTCCTTGGATTTTGGGTAGGGGAATGTAAATTCTTAATCCCATCAGCTGTGGAGGCTGATGGCATTTTGCTTATGAATAGTGTGCACCAGTCTTTCTGAATGAATTACCAAATCTGCATTTCTAAAGAATGGCCTCCTTGGGTTTCTGCCTGAGGAAAGGGAGACTGGGGGCTTTTTCTGCCTAAGATTTTACTTTCATTTCTCCTTCAGGGGAAATATTCTATCTTGCCTTTTTAAAATATTCCCCAAAATATTTCACTCTCTGGGAGGGAGGTGCTGACTCCCTACACATATATACCTACAAATTATACTGGATCAGCTCTGCACATCCTAATTGCCATGAAGATTCTTTTGCCTCTTTTTGGAAAGGATTTGATACCTTTTATGGAAGATGGCATTGCTTAATAGATGGAACGTGGAACATGTCAAATCTGTCAGATCTTACAGGATGGATAGAAACAATGAGGAAAAACAAACCTTCAGTCAGGCCCTATACCATAAAGAGCTTTGTGGACGACAACCATCATCTTGCATCACACATAGAAGCTTGCCAGTAACAAGTCCAGCTTGCTGAGCAACAAAGGTTATATTGGCATACAGATGCACACCTGCAACTGCTCATGCTGCTGCATTTTGGATCAACTATAATTTTTAAATGTTCTTAAAACAGGAGCCCCACTTAAAGTGTGTTGCAATAAGGTACAGGAAGGAAAGGGAACAAAGTGTTCCAGATGGATCATATGAACAAAGGGCCTTCTGACTTTTCAGGTAAAACAAACTGAAATACGGTTACTGATCCAAAGTTATCCCAAGTTTCATTAGGGAATTCTGAACCTGGATCTCCACACTTAACTCTGACATTTAACTACTGTACTGAAAACACTGCAATTACAATCCTAGTTTATATGGCATAGGGCCAGCATGTTTCCCCATGTACTGTATTATGGAAAAGTTCCCAACTGACCTATGGAGGAAGACACAGTATACTGTACTACCTATACTGGCAGGTTATTGCTTTTCCGATTAAATACGTTCATATTTTTTTTGAACCTGTGTAGCCACCTACCATCTATTTTCTAAGAAGCCCTTTGAGATCTATGAGGGCCCATAAAACATTATTGGAAATACAGGATAGGCTTCCGGAGAGTGCTTTGTTTGTAGAATTCTAAGTTCCTATTCAATTAAACAAAAAAACAACAACAGGGTGGGAGTTTGGTTTGAAAAGTGTCAGCAGGCACACTTTTCTGAGGCTAAAGGAACAGTGGTCTTAAACCAGAGTTCCCCAACGTTTCTGGCTTTGTGGACTGGCAAGGGAGGGGATGGTTCACGCAAGCACCAGATAAGTACTCACGCAGCTTGATTTGCATGAGTGGTGTGCATGGGCGCCTGCCACTCACGCAAATAGAGCACACGCGCGTGCACGCTGCTTATGTGAGGATGCACATGCATGCATGCGTGCTCACTGGCCGTTTCTGCGGCCAAGTTACAAACCCCTTGTGGCCCACTAGTGGGCCAGGGCACACAGGTTGGCGACCCCATCTTAAACCACAGTACATCAGGCTGCATTCAGCATCCAAAATCATTTTCTGTAGCTTAAAGTAGTACTTTGTAGGCACTGAATTTGAAAAACTATTATATAGCTATTATTAGAACCAATATTAAAATATTGGTAATCTGGTTAATGGAAAATGTACACATCACCTTTTGAGCTAGTACATTTGGGAAGATTTTGCCACCTGATTTATACCATAGATAGATAGATAGATAGATAGATAGATAGATAGATCGATAGATAGATGATAGACAGACAGACAGATAGATAGACAGACCTTTATTGTCATTTTTTACTGTGGGCACAATGGCATACATTAAAAATGAAATTTAGTTGCTTGCTCTCCAAGTGTACATATACATAACACACATTTAAACATACTATATACAACATATGTATAGACCTACAACCTTACATATAAGTAACATATAAATATTAATCACTGTCTATCTTGAATACATAACGGAAGGAGGAACCTTTAGAGTTCACAAGGTTAATACTATACTGTATGGAACAAAACTGTGACTGAAACTGGGTGTTCTGCTTGATACCAGAGCCTTCTCCCAGAAGGTAACAAGGAAAACAGGTCATAAAGAGGATTGTCCCAGATAATCTTACGGCCCCTGCTCAAGCAACGCTTCTGTGCTATGTCCTGGATGGAAGGGAGGGAACTGCCAATGATCTTTTCAGCCATCCTCATCACTCTCTGCACCGCCTTCCTGTCTGAAGCAGTGATGCTTCTAAACCAGTCTGTGATGCTGTATAACAATCTGTTATGCATCAGTGAACAAGAGGGAGAGAGGGTGTGTTTAGGGCTAGCACTTATTTCCAACTGGCTTAGAGCCAATATGGAGCCAATAATGCTAAAGTACTGCAGAAAAAAAGTGGGATCTATTTCTCAACGGATTTGTTTAGAATTACGGTGCCATGGTATGCCACGATACATCAAATAGGATCGTGCATCTTAAAAAAAATTCATTTTTTAAAAAATGAACTGTAGTGGCAACGAATGACGCCATTACACAATATCTTTCAAAATGTGGAAAGTGCCCCTTCAAGAGACATTGTTTTCCTGAAAATGTATGCTTTACTGACAGCAAGCAACAGCTTCAGTATTGTGCACGCCAGTGGCTCTTTTTTTTTTATACCTTTCTTGCACTGACAGGTACGAGAGAGAAATTCTAGCGAAACCACTGAATCGGTGGCCCGATGCCAACCCCACTTCACCAATTCCCAGAAAAAAGCTCAAGCGTCACTAGCCGTTACACAACACCTTCGTTAAATGGAGGCAAAAGCGGAACCTCGCTTTTCACATCCGAACTAAAATGGCACCACATCCGTCACTTTTTGCTAAGGCCCACGAGCTTCGTCATCCCCATTGGCCAATTTAAGGCCGCCCGCGTCCCTCATTGGAGTAGGCAGGTTTCCGCCTCCCTGTTTTGCTGCCCTTCGGCTCAACGCTTAATCACTCCGAAAGGCATCTTTCCCTCACTACTGATTGCGCACGTCATTTCCTGTCCTGTCTCCGCCTTCTTTTCTTTCATGGAAACCTCGCGCGGCCTTCTTCTTGAGCTCTGATTGGGTTACAAGCAGGTCGGTCACGAGTCAAATTGGACGATTTCATCATACGCGTGAAGCTTCCGAAAACTTCGCGCGACAGCCGATTGGCAGACCGCGACGTCAGTTATTCCTGTCTCTTCGTCCTTTTCCTCGCCCGTGTTACTCGAACTCTCGGTCAAAAGCTCCACCTCTCTCCATTGGGTGGAGCCTCCCTCAGAGGCGTTTCCTGGAAGGGGTGCCACCACCGAACTCTTCGTAATCTGTTTCAATTTTCTTCACCCCCCCCCCCCATCATTCCTGCGCCAAGCCCCGCCTTGCTTTGCTTGACTAGTCGGAGGACACGTCATTCACTGGCAGTACGGCCTTCCGGAGTTTCCTTCAGGCTTCGCGATTGGGCAGAACGGCAGGAGGCGTGTTCCTGGGCTTGGGCCGTGTCGGCGCAGCTCCCTCCCCTCGCCAACCCTTTGGCGGTCACCGGTGGGGTTAGGCTGCCTCGTCACCGACTTCGCTGCCCCCGCCCCGCCCACCCCTCCGGCACCACTTAGGTTAGCCTTCCCCGTCAGCCAACATGAGCGGTAAGGAAGGGACCATCGTGGCCGGGCGGGGGGCGCCGCCTTCTTTCTCTTTTTCCCGCCCCGCCCCGCCCAGCCCCCCGGGCGGGGGGATCCGAACGGGGGAGGGGTAACGATCCTGGGGAGGGGAAGCCAGCCAGGAGCCGTGGTAGGGGAAGCCTTTGGGGGGAGGGGCCCCGAGGAGGGGAGCGGGGCTTGCGATGGAGGGTGGAGGAAGCGGCCATGGGAGGGCAAGTCGCCTCAGGGAGGAGGAGGATCGGGCGGGACCAGGTGGGGGCTGGAATTTTCTCCGCTGGAAAGAAGCGGCGGAGCCGGATGGATCCTCCGTCTACCTCTCTCGGGTGGCGCTGCCCGAGGTTGGGAGGGAAACGCAGGCGATGCCGGAGAAGGAGGCAGGAGAGAAAGTAGCAAGTTAAAAAGAAAAGCCCCTCTGTGCGTGCGTGTGTGTGTGTGTTGGTGTGTGTATGTGTCCCTATTCCACGTCCTCCCTCCTCCCCACTCCTGAAATCGTTGCTCCGTCGCCTCAAAAGCTTCAGAAGGCCGAGGAGAGAGAGCTTCGGGCCATATGCAAAGTGCCTTTTCTCCCGGCTGAACCTGGTTCAGCCGTCGACTACGTGTGGCGGGGGGGGAGGGGAGGGAAAGGGGCGAAACTCGTAGTTCCGGAGAGCCGTGGCGCTTCCAGGAAGGCCGGAGGCAGTTCTGAGAAACGATAAAAAAAAAAAAGTGAAGGCCTTGTTTGGTACCGGGCCCCAAAAGATGAAGAAATCCACTTTTCCGTAGGTCTGCCTCTGCTCTTAGGGGAAAAAAAGAAGAAGGAAAAAGGCAACCCCCACCCCCTAGGGCAGGGGTAGGCAACCTTGGCTCTTTTATGACTCGTGGACTTCAACTCCCAGAATTCCTGAGCCAGCTTGGCTGGCTCAGGAATTCTGGGAGTTGAAGTCCACGAGTCATAAAAGAGCCAAGGTTGCCTACCCCTGCCCTAGGGGCAACAACTCCAGATTTGCTAGGCCTCTTTCCTCCCTCTCCGGGGTTCTCTCAGATTCCGACGCAAAGGGGGAGGCGGGCTTCGTTTTTGTGCACATTGGCGCGTGGGAGGCTGGAGTCTAGTTAAAAGAGTCCTTAACGCTGAAGAGGAATTTAAACTCGGAAATCGTGAGGTTTGGCAGGCTTTTTTGCTTTGTGTACACTGGGTGCGGAGCTCCGTATTGAACCAGCTGCAAGTCAGAAGTTTGCATACTCCTACGCCCCTTGGGAGTTGACTCATGCAACTACTTCCCCTTTTCCTCCCAGCAAGCCGAGGCGTTTTGCATGGCCTTTACCCAGAGAGCCCCTTTCACAACCCCGGACTTGCTCTGTCATGCAGAGATGGGAGTTTATAAAGAGAGCTGCCGAAATGGAGCTGTGGTTTTTTTGTTGTTGTTGTTGTTGTTGTTGTTGAATCATAGCAACGCTTCAGAGAAAACCTAGTATTTTCGTGACATGGGTTTTTAAAGACGTCTAGCCGCCTTTACCACACTGCAAAAAAAAAAAGGGACACTGCAAAAAAAAAAAGTTGTAAACAGATCTCGGGTATTTCTGAACCTTGAAATCCGGTTGGTTTTGCATCATGGGATGAGGAAGTGGCGCCAAGGCGGTGCAGGGTGAGGGAAGAGGCTGTAAATATGATGCAATACCCATATCCGCCTAGTAGCAGTAGTTTTGATCCGTACCTTCCTTCTTCTCCCAGGGTGTTGTCTTTTTATGAATGTTGTGAATGTATATTGTAGCAATTAATAGTAAAATCTGATTTGTTCATAAGAGACCCTCTTTTGATATTTTATTCCTAGCCTTAACAACTCTTGATGGTCACACTGCCCCATTTTATTTTCTGTGCAATGTGCAATGCCTACAGTTTATCCGGTATGCTAATGCAAAGTTGTTCTTCACGTTTTAATCATAGTTTTTGTTGTACTTACCGTATATCTTGGCCTTTAGATTGGAGAGTGGTATATCATATCTTTTCTCAGTCTTTAAACAGTTATGTAAGATGACTTGGCTTGTTCACTATTTATTAAAAATGCGAGCGTAGGATTTTTGTAGGTGTATTTGAATTGCTCATTGGATTACAGTGTCTTTATTGACACTTTTAATTTCTGTTTTCTCTTTATCACTTTTCCTCTTAGGGATCTTTAACTTTGGTGTAGTTCATTATGGTGCTAGATTACTTTAAAGACAAATTCTAAATGCAATATGTGTGTATGTATATTTTGTGTGTGTGTATGTATGTGTGTGTGTGTGTATGTATGTATATATATATGTGTGTGTGTGTGTGTGTATCTCCAAAGGCTATCACTAAGTGCATAATCTATAATCACAATGCTTTACTTGGTATTACCAGTAATACCACTTGGCAATACCACTTTACTTAGCGTCTGTTGAAGGCCTTCATTTTTAAATCTGTATTTTTAAATAAATCAAAAATGCTGGAGATCTCTTGCTGCACGATATGTTACATAGCATGGGAGGATCTAATGCTAAATTAGTTCTGTGCCTTTCTGCTTCCTCTTGAAAAACTACATGCTTTATATTATTTATTTAACTCTTTTTTATTCTTTTTTCTTATCCTCTAATTTCTATGCAGATCATGATATTTCAGAAGGCATGGTTGTTATCAAGACTGAGAAGGTGGATGAAGGCTGCAGTAATGATGGAGGAAACTGCGAGGCCCAGGTAAGTAAGAATTCTGAGAAGAAGAGAAGGGTTAGGGGGGGGGAAATCACATTTTGCAGTAGAAAGATACCTTTGGTTTTTAATATATGTGGTGATGCAACATTATCTTCTCTTTATTTGAAAAGGGTGGATTACTTATTTTTGCAGTTTTAAAAAATCTTCAGTATTTTTGCAATCCTCTATAATTAAAGTCACACTTGGAAAGTGATGATAATAATCTTATGGTTCTTGAGTTAAGGGGGTGAGTAAATTCAAAACAGGTTAGATAACGGGTTCATCAAAACTTTATTAGTATTTCGGTGAGTGTTGGAATTTGTATTTCCTCCTGAAAGATAGTTGGGAGTGTAAAATTGTTTAACCCAAGTTCAAAGTAAACCTTTCTGAGTAAAATAGTCTAACCTGAGTGATGAGGAATGTTATTTCATTAGATGTTGGTTGTTGATGTCTTACGTTGGTTAGACCAGAGTGTACAATCCCTGCTGTAGGAGATTGGCAAATCATCTATTAATTGGCTGCTTTCTTGTGCTCCTTGTTGTTGTTTTGTAAGGTCATCTGGGATGGCCAGATGCTTGACTCCTCCTCTCTTGTTCTTCATTTCCTGACAGGAGTCTCAGCCTTCTCCTCTGGCCCTGCTAGCAGCCACATGCAGCAGGATTGAATCTCCCAATGAGAACTCTGATGGTTTACAGGGGCAACAGGGAGGCTCAGGTGAACTGGACCTTGCTACTGCAACTCAAATCTCCCAAAATGCAAATGGCTGGCAAATAATTTCCACTGCTTCTGGAGCTTCTGATTCTCCCAAAGATCTGGGGAATAACAGCAATGAAGAGAATGATTCATCGTCCAAAAACCGAGCTGCCACCACTGGGCAGTATGTGGTTGCTGCCAGCCCAAATATGCAGAACCAGCAAGTTCTGACAGGGTTATCAGGAATGTTGCCTAATATTCAGTATCAGGTGATTCCCCAGTTTCAAACTGTGGATGGTCAACAATTGCAGTTTGCCACTGCTCCCACTCAAGTTAGTGTCCAGCAAGATGCCTCTGGCCAGCTGCAGATAATTCCAGGAACTAACCAGCAGCTCATTACAAACAGGTCTGGCACAGGCAATATCTTGGCTGCCATGCCAAATCTTTTGCAGCAGGCCGTCCCCATTCAGGGAGTAAATACTCTCTCAGGGCAAACACAGTATGTCACTAACGTCCCACTGGCTTTGAACGGCAATATCACCTTATTGCCTGTTAACAGCCTTGCTGCCAGTTTGGCCCCCACGTCTCAGTCAGTCACTCTAAGCAATTCTAGCTCTCCAGAGAATAACTCTCAACCAGTTTCAATCAGTTCCTCCAACGTGGCTGCGACTCAAGCCAGTACTGTCTCTTTTTTCACCAATGCTAACAACTACAGCACCACTACCACCACAAGTAATTTGGGCATCATGAATTTTTCTACTAGCGGCAGTGTGGGAACAAATGTGCAGGTGCAGACACCACAGAGGACGAACAGCAATCAGAATGCCGACGCCGTGCAGGTTGCAGGGGTTGCGGTCCATCAAGGACAACAGAAAGATATTGATCAAAACCAACACCAGCACCAGCAGCAGATCCTGGTGCAGCCTCAACTTGTTCACGGAGGGCAAGGCAGCCAGACCTTTACCCAAGATGCTCTGCAGAACCTGCAGATCCAGGCACTCCCCAACACTGGTCCAATCTTTATTCGAACGCCCACCGTAGGGCCAAATGGACAGGTCAGCTGGCAAACTATTCAGCTTCAGAACCTTCAGGTCCAGAATCCGCAAGCTCAGACAATCGCTTTGGCTCCCGTTCAGGGGGTGTCCCTGGGGCAAACTGGGAGCACCAGCACAACACTCACACCAATAGCTTCCGCCTCTCTACCCAGCGGCACAGTCACTGTAAACGCTGCTCAGCTATCTTCCGTACCAGGCCTTCAGACCATCAACCTTGGGGCCCTGGGATCTGGCATCCAGGTTCACCAGCTGCAAGGGCTTCCTCTCACCATAGCCAATGCCACTGGTAAGTAGGAGGTTTTTGTAGTGCCTGTTGTGGGTTTCCATGTATGTTGTTCACTTTAAATTGCTATTAAAACAAAAGTTTTCATCACGGAAGGAATAAATTGGAAGATAAAGAACGCATACTGAAGGGTTGGACATGAAAAAAACAAGCTAAAAACCGCATTTCTGGTTCTTAAAATGTTCATGTCAAATAACAGGCTTTTCAGATTTTTCTTTTAAGGTTATATGAATCTGTCAAAAGCTGAAGGGACTGCCTTCAGAACCTTAAAAGTATAGGTAGTCCTTGACTTAACAACTGTTTGTTTAGTGACCATTTAAAGTTACAACGGCACTGAAAAAAGTGACGTGTGACCATTTTTCACACTTATGACCTTTGCAGCGTCCCCATGATCATGTGATCAAAATTCAGATGCTGGGCAGTTGGTTCATACTTACGACTGTTGCCGTGTCTCAAGGTCGTGTGATCACTTTTTGCAACCTTTTGACCAGAAAAATCAACGGGGAAGCCAGATTCACTTTACAACCATATTACTAACTTATCAGCTGCAAGTGATTCACTTAGCGATTGTGGCAAGAAAAATGGGGGCAAAAACAAATGTCTCACTTAACAACAAAAATGTTGGGCTCAGTTGTTGTAAGTCGAGGACTACCTGTATAGTGAAGAGATATATCTGTAATAGCTGCTGTATTTTTTTTAAAAAAATAATTCTGCCAAGAACTGTCAGTTATAATATTATATGCTCCTGTTGGGTCCTTAGAGCAGAAGTAGGGGGGAAAAAAACCTGTGCTCTATTTATTTTACTACGAAATAATGTTCAAGCTGGATTTAGATGGCCATTCACAGTATGAATGGTAACTGACTGTCACTGTGTTCTATTTATCAATTATGTGAAGAGTTAGTCATCTAGCATGATTAGGTACTGTATGTAGAAAAGCTAATTGATCCCAGAACCATTTTGAAATAAGGTCTTGTGGCAATGTGCCAGAAGGCTCCCACTTTGCTTATCTTGGGGTACTTCCATGAGATTTTGGCCACTTCAAAGAAAATGTTTAAATATTAAATTTTCATACAGGTTTAGGATCCTATCAATGTCAACTGGTGGAGGGACCACGTACAGTATACTAGGGCAACCTTGTGCACTGTGTGGCCAATCCCCGATTTATGTATGGAGCCTCAAAATTCATATGGTACTGGGTGTAGTAACCTGCATAGAGGGCTAGATTGGCATCTGCTAATCTTGTCATACACCTTCCCAGTTGGATGAAACATATGGAAGGAATTTTAAGGCTGTAACATTGTGACACACATTGCAGCCATATAGAATAAGGCCCGTTAGGCAGCAGCTTCTATACATTTGCATCCCATATGTGAATATCTGTGAAAGGATTAAGTGAATGGTGGATGTGAGAAATTGAAAAAACAGGTCCTCTGGGATCTGCTGTAGCCTTTCTTAACTAGTTATCTTCCAAATGTATTGGAATTACGACTTTCAGAATCCCTATCTGGCAAATCCCTTGGAGTCAAAGTCATAACACCAGGGACATCAGAGTAAAGAAGACTGAGCAAAAAACCAAGAGTCTAAAATATATTCTGTCTATAGGGTCTTATGATGTTGTAATTTCCCAAATGCCAAGTGATTGGATCTGCAAAATGTTCATTAATCATATGAGGTCTTTTTTTTCCTTCTCTTCTGGTCTTTATTATTGCATAGTGCGGTGATGGCGAACCTTTTAGAGACCGAGAGCCCAAACTGCAACACAAAACCCACTTATGCATCGTCGGGTGCCGGGTGGCCATTGGGTGGGTGTGGGCCATTGAGTGGGTATGGCTGCAATGGTAATGGCAGACTGGGTGGGACTAAAAAGTTCAATCAATTCCAACTTTGCAAGATCTTTTTTTTCCCCACAAGAAGTTGAAATTGACTGATTGATTGAACCTTTTTTTTTCACACGGCGGCAGAGGTCTAAAGCGAAAAGGTTTTATAAAACCCAGCTGAAGGCCTAGGACTGGGGCAACAGTACACGTGCTCACAGAGAGGGCTCTGAGTGCCACTTCTGGCACCCGTGCCATAGGTTCGCCACCACTGGCATAGTGTAACACAAGATGATTAAACCATTAGAGATCATTGAGTTCATAGTTTCCAGAGTTCACTTGAAATGTTTTATGCTTTGCTGATTCCCTAATTCAATAATTCTGGGGGTGGAGGAGTAAACACAAGTAAAACTCTTGTGATTTGAGGATTGCACATAGAAAATGGGAAAAAAGATAGGAAAATGCAAGAAATAATTTAAATGAAGTAGGGAAATAACGCATACGCATCGAATCAAAAGAGCCATTCATCTCAGGGTAATTTCTGGATGGACAACCTAAGTTTTTATTCTACAATGATGAATTGGAACTCACGCTGATGCTAGAGAATTAAAATAAGATGAATTTAATGGCTGAAAGCATCTCTTAATGCTAAAAAATTATTGACCTGTGAAAGTAGTACAGAATGTGCTTTTAAATCATTGTGTGTTGTATTGACAATGTTTGAAGTGGGGTGACTGAAAGGCTAGGCATCCCTCTGCTGTGTTGCAGATTTTGCGTGGATGAGGATAACAGAATAAAGTTGCCTTTCAGAACAAAATGGGGTTTGGCAGGAAGATACTTATTTAATTTATATTATTGATCAGAGTATTTGATACTCAGATAGTCAAAAGATTTATACAATTAAGCAAATGTATGGGCTTCTCATTTTCACCATGTATAGAATTTTGGACTTTTTCATTGCAATGTATATGTTGCAAGGATGTGGCTACTAGTTCTGTTGCTTCTGTGAATATAGGGATGAAATTCAGTATGGTGTCATTCATTCTTGCTTACTTGCTTACTTTATAGCAGCTTCCCAAACCGACCAGCCTGGATAAGAATTAGTGAATGAGAAATCCAATAAATACTGAGAAGATGAGAGTCAGGAAGCTTGCATTACATTATAGTTATTACATTGTGAGCTTCAGTTATGAATTTTTGTCTGTTAGGCATCATACAGTTTTGGAATCCAGTGACTTTTATTTGTGGTGAATTCTACATTTTTAAAATGGAGGAGAAAAATATTCTAAGCCTTCTAATTTTTAGAAAACTTTTTGTAATCAGAATTGGAAACCAGAAAGTGTTGGCTTGTAAGGTTTTCTGAAGTGTAAGGTTTCCCAGTTATAGCCACACCCATCCACAAAGGCTTGGCTGAAGCCCCAATATGCCTGTAGTTGCCACCAAATGGTTCTTTTTAATATGAGTTACGCTTTGTAGAAAAGCCAGTTTAGTGCAGTAGTCATTTGTAGCAACAGTAGTAGTTTGTAGCATCAGGCTACAACCCCCCCCCCCCAAAAAAAACCAACCCCGCTGGATCAAAACCAGCTGGGTGATCTTGGGCCAGTCCCTGTCTCTCAGCCCTAAGAAACAAGTAATGGCAAATCCTTTCAGAAAAGCCTTGCCAAGAAAACTGCAGCAACTAGTTCAGGCAGTTGCTAGGAGACAACACTGACTTGAAGGCAGACACACTACTCCCCATATTATTCAGTAAGTTTTCAGTAATCTTTGATCTCACCCACTTTATTATGGGCCTACCCATTTTGGAGAGAGTGGTTGATGGCATATCAGTTAAATGCCAGGTGCAGTGCTCAGTTTAAAAAGTATGTGCATTTCTGTGAATGTCTTATGTTTTTGGCCTAGGTCAGGGGTATCAATCTGGCAGCCCGCAGGCCGGATGCGTCACGCACAGGCCATGCCCACCCCAGCTCCACAAAGGCAAAAAAAGGTGTTATACGTCATGCTACGTCACGTGACATGATCGCGTTTGACACCCATGGCCTAAGTCCTGCGATTTTTCTCCTTTCCTTAAGGACCACTAGTAATTCTGTAATTGTACCAGTATTAAATGCTGATGATCCCTATAGCACTAATTGTTTTAACTCAGCAATAGAGGGCATGCATAATTTTAAATAAATAGTTAAAACATGGGACAGATTAGGACAGCTATGATCTTATTTTTGAAATGTCTTTAACATTCATAGTAGCGTAAAGATTTACCCTTTAAAATAGCTGCAAGTAGTCCTTGAAACAGTTCATTTAGTGACCATTCAAAGTTACAACACCACTGAAACAAGGGACTCGTGATGGTTTTTCACACTTATGACCACTGCAACATCCCCATGGTCATGTGAACAAAATTCAGAAATTTGGCAACTGGGCAACTGACTCACATTTATGACGGTTGCTGTGTCCTGCGGTCATGTGATCCCCTTTTGCAACCTACTGACGAGCAAACTCAGTGGGGAAGCCAGATTCAGTTAACAACCCCGTTACCCCCTTAACAACTGTAGTGATTCACTTAACAACTATGGCAGGAAAGCTAAAATGGGGCAAAACTCACTTAGCAACTGTCTCAGTAACAGAAATGTGAGGCTCAGTTGTAGTCCTAAATTGAGGACTATCTGTATTTGTGAGTAGAAAGTATACTTTGTTGCAAACACTCCACATTTAAGATATAAAGAACGATGCAATAGATTTGTGTCATTGTTCTTTAAAACTAGCCCTTGGCCAGACATGTCAAACTTGTGACATCGCGCAAAGTATCGGAGCTTTTTCCCCATTGCCGGCAATGGGGTGGGCGCGGTTTCCTGGTGACATGTCCAGCCCGTGGGCCAGCAGTTTGACACCCCTGCTTTTGGCAGTTAAAACCTGGTGCTGTTTTTTTAAAAGAGATTTGATAAAGACCGTGAAAATAATTCTGTTTGGAAAGCCTGTTTTGTTTGTTTTAATTCCTACTTTACATTCATTTTGGGGGATACTTAAACATTATGTTCTCCAACTGCACTTGAGAACTTTAGAGTTGATGGTTAAATATTGCCTGACTTAAGTTACTGTTTCCTCCACAAAGAATAGTTATTAAGAATTGTGTTTTGTAATGTGCTATTTATCAAAGTGGTTTTTGTTTTTGAAATCTCTTGACAAAGCTGATG